CGCAAGGTGCTAATCACGTTATCGGTAATAGATACGATAGTTGGCAGGTGGCCTGCTCTTCCAGAGAGGAGGCGAGAGCTGAGAACTAAAGGAGGCTTCGAGGGTGTACTGGGGAACAAAGAAGTAACCGTTCAACCAAGTATATTGAAATACTGTCTGTCGAAGTCTGCCTTTTCTATCGTAGAAACAGGCGGTCTTTAAATACACAAATCTGTTCATGTCTAGCATGAACGAAGCTAATCAAAGCTATCAATCGATACCATTTGGTAAAACTCCTTAAGTATCAAAGCGATACTTAAAACAAAACATAAAACAAAACCAAGTATCAAACGATACTTAAAACAAACCAAGTATCAAAGTGATACTTAAAACAAAACATAAAACAAAACCAAGTATCAAAGCGATACTTAAAACAAAACATAAAACAAAACCAAGTATCAAAGCGATACTTAAAACAAAACATAAAACAAAACTAAGTATCAAACGATACTTAAAACAAACCAAGTATCAAAGCGATACTTAAAACCAAACATAAAACAAAACCAATAACCAAGTACCCATACCGGTTACAATACCTCATATACAAGCTATTTTGTTTTCCAACTACGCTTTAAAAACAGCTCAAACACTATTCCTTTCTGTGTCTACTGTGACTATTCCAAAAAGGGCTCTAAACCCTGGCACGGAGACACAAATAGTTAATATATGGAAAGTAACTCATGTACATATGATAACCCAATACTTTTTATCTGTAGTAAGATTCACTCGCTTTCCCCAGTGCCCTCGCCGTATAACTACAAAGTTCAGTTTTCAAGCAGAAAACGTCCCCATGTCATGAGCAATTCCAGCTCCACCAGTTCATCATACTAGCAAAGGAATTCCACCCATGCCCTTCCCATCGTTTCTTCACCAGTGATCACTCGACAAAGGTTACGAGCAGTTCAGGGTTACTGGTATACTGCAATTTAACCGCAACCATAAAGTCAATATAAGACATATCATAGATTGACTCAACCATTGGGGCATTCCCTCACCTGTTCACTTAGTTGCTCGCTTGCCTTCCCCCCCCTCCTTTTTCATGCGGCCACCTAATCCACCCCACTGTTGAAGGATCCACCTTCCCACCTTTTGCCCGTTCTTTCATTTTATCCACAGCCAATATAACACCCCCGTACCGGCTCCCCACAGTCTAATTATTGTGAGATTTCATTCTTCTGACTGCTGCCCTTCTCTTTATCGCTAACACCCCCAGTGAGGAGGGTTTAGCAGTCCTCCTCACTTTGGCAGACTCTCATCATGAGCACGGTGGATTGTCTTCCAGGGTACAACTGGTATGTATGCACATCTCCAGGTCGGGAATACAGAGGCTGCTGCTCCATTGACGCTTGTCATTCGGGCTGCGGCTCTAAGTACCAACAGGAAAATGCCAGAACCCCTATTGGCAGCCCAGCAATGACGACGACTACTGCTGCTAGCAGAAAGACAATTACCTCAACCATCAGGGTCTCGTTGAAGAGCTCTTCCACTTCATCGAGCGTTGGGGATACATCGCTGACTTCACTTTCTACCTTCTCAACTTCCACCATCTCGGTCAGCACTTTGGAAACCCCAACTTCTACTGAATCGACAAGCATTTCGGAAATCCCAACCTCGACTTCTGCTAGCATGGTCTCTGAGATCCGTCCGAAAACATCTGAGACAACTAGGCCAATTACCGGATCAGGGAATCTCGACACTCCAGCAATTATTGGTATCGTGGTTGGTGGGCTTTTATGTTGTATTATCCTCTCGCTTTTGGGATACTGGGTGTTTTGTCAACTCCGGAAAGTCAGGGCCAACAAGGACTCCTCGAAAGCGCCCACCAAGTCTTCAGCTCACCAGCCATCCTCCCCAATTCCCGAGCCCACCAGAGTTTCAGAGGCAGCAGGAACAACGACAAGACTCAGCTGCCCCACTACCTCTCCGCAGACCAGTCTTTCGTCGCCTCCTACAATTCCATTGCAGCTGGCTGAACTCCCGGGATCACCACCCCCCACTGCCCCACAGGCACCTCTCGAACTCCCAATAGAAAAGGACCCCGCCCCACGCGTGAGCATCTACGACCCATCCACACTGGCCATGACTATCCATCGCGAAGCAGTGACGCACGTGCCCCGTCGTGCTCTATCCCCCTTCGCTGGAAACCCTCACCTTCCCCAAGCCGCTCGAAGGAGGAGTAACTTTGAGTCCACCGGTCCCCCGCTAGCCATGACCAGAACTATGGATAACCTTAACACTCATGAATTTCACTCCTCGGCAACAGCAGGAACCCCCCCAGGCGGGAGTGGTGGTAATTGGAGTGGTGATCGATTCCGCCAGAGAGAAGTTGAGAACTTGAGCACTATCAGACACTTGTCATGGCGAGATTGGGAGGAGCAGGGAATATATATGTCTCATGGCCCTAGTGTCGTGGCGCCTTTAGCAGGCGGACAAGGCAACGGAGCGGGTGAGGTGAGAGGAGGTTTGGGGGGGGCATCTGTTGGTGGTGGGAATCATAGTGGACAGGGTTACAGGGAGGATGAGGCACAGCCGGAGGATGGACAAGGCGACGCCAGAAGAGCGCCTCCGCATCCGAGCAACAGGTATAGCTACTAACTAGATCGGGGGGTAAACACGATAGAGATCGGCCGGCAAGGGTTTTATTCAAACATGCCCCTTTGGCTTTACTCTTGCCTCTATCGTCCCGTTTTCTGTCACATAGACCCTATCAACTAACGTATTCCTCATACCTCCTCTCCATTCTATTACTTTTTCTGAATTCTAGATTTCCTCTCCTTGCCTTCCACACCTTTTTCTCCTCCCACCCCACTTTTCTCCTATAAAATCTTCAATTCCCCCCACCCTCCCCTCTTCAGCGCTCCTCTCCTCTGTTCCTGCATTCATCTCCCACCCCCCTAATCTTAAAGATAAAGGGGAACCAACAGCACATTCACAAAGGCCAATTTTTCCGTTTCTCCCACTTATCTACATTTCCACTTCACGATGCGTATGTCAAAGGGAACTAGCAGACATAAAAGGACAAAAGTCCGTGTCCCAAACGTCTATATACGACCTTCCCTTTGACAGAGAAGCCCACCCGTTCTATCCTCAGAAATTCTCACAGTAGCCATAGCAACAGGCAAGCAGGAAGGTAGGAAACACGGCATAATACCACACCCCATAAACCAATCCTGAAGCATGGATAAAGTAACCAGCCCCCCCCCCACCCCATCCGCCAGTCCACCCGCCGCCCAACCATAATACACTCAAACCAGTGCCAACAAAAAAAAACATTCAGAGAGCATAATATGATATAGCGCACAGCGAGGAAATCTCTCCGTATACTCGAGTATAGGACCCCGGCCGCATGACCACTAGGGGACGTCGGTCCCCTCGCAACGCTCCAACCCTTACCGAGCTATTCGTAATAACGCACACCCACCACCACCACTCACGATGTAACAGAACAGAACAAAAAAAAAAAAAAAACAGAGAGGAAACCACCCGCTATAAGCTCAGACCTTCCTACCACATATCATACCGATCCGGCCAACGGACTCGCGAGTTCCGCAGAATCAAGCAACCAAGTCAAGAATCTCCCTAGCATGGTATAATAGCAGAAGCCCATACTCCAATGGTCATGATAGCGATTTTACGCGGCAGAATACAATACCCCACCCATCCAATTTACAATTCACTCGCAGTGGGGGGGGAGGGCACATACTGCACACCACAGTGGTGAAGACTAGCTCCTATATCAACAGGAGTGATACAACACCACAACTTTTAACCATGAAGACACCACTATTAGAAAAAGCAGGAAAAAGTTTTTTTCTTTTTCCCATTCCTTACCCATCACCTATCCCACGCAGGAGAGCAGGAGACAGCGGGGAGGGAGGGTGGACCGCCGCTGGGGGGATCATCAAGAGCAATCACAGCACATCACTCGATACTGTTTCCAGGAGTCATCGCGGGTGGACAGGAGAAGATGCCCATAGTTCTACCCACCAGGCTGTTTGGTGAGTGGCCGGACGAAGTGCTGTCGGCCCTCTCTAACTCTTACCGGCGGAACACGGTTCCCCCCCGCCCCGGCTGGGCTCTGGATACCGTTGGGCAGGTGGGTTATCCCCAATCAATCAATCAACCGTCCCAGCTGGAGGGAACGCTACGGCTTGGCCGCTGGTGCCGGAACTCTAGTCCTGGTGCATCGGCGGAGAGGTGAGAGGTCCACCTGCTCGCACTGGAATATAGGTATGGGAGTTCTTCTAGGTGCGAGTGCCCATCGCATAGGAAGTGTACAAGTTGGTCAAGTCCTACATTAGCCTCCGGAAGAAAAATGGTTTTGTGAAGGCTTAGTTTTTTAGCTACATCGGGATGTATCCATACAGTGTCATAATAAACCACAACAATCTATGGGGGGATCGACATGGAGGAGAGGGGGTATTCTAACAAGTTTTTCTTCTTTTAGAGTTGGGGGAATGTTTTTTTTTTTTATGGTGTTGCTAAGAGGCACTTGTATCATACGAGGCTGGTGACAAAAATGAACAGAACGGCATGTAACAACCCAAACCATGCTCCTTCACGCTTTCAATTCAATACATTCTAAAGCTGTAAAAAAAAAATTAGAATATCATAATTCAAAATTCTTTCAAATGTCTCCAGATGAAAACAGTGCCAAGCCCTATCATTTCCCATACAAAATCATCAGAAATTGCGCCAAGACCAATGTACCAACCATAACTCGCTCAACAATTATTTAGCAAGCTCACAGAGATTTTTTTTATATATAGATCAAGATTTGATTTGGATTTCTTCACTGGATCATTGGTTGGTGGTGAATACGGCTATTTTCAGTGGAAAACCCGTACCGTAAATTGCTCATCGTTTTTGACGCCAGCCTCGTAAAGTGGTCGGCTAACAACGAGCCATGCCCAAGAGCTAACCTATACCACGATTTACTAGTACCGGTATCACTACAAAGCTTTTTAACACCAGTGCAGGATAGCATAACTGTGCTTTTTTTTTTTTGTAACCACCCCAACCAATCTAACCATTAATACACCCATCAATTGGTCAAGCGAGCTTCACTCATCCTGTGGAACTGGAAAGAATCAAAGTCCGGAAAAGAAAGAGGGAAAGAAAAGAAAAGATGACACAGAAGTGAATTGTGTCATTTAATCTCCCCCCTTCCGGCCCTTGGCACCGCTTCTAGCCCTTGAAGTGGTAGGCTTCTTGATGTGGTGCACAGGAATCCAGCTCTCATCGTACTTTCCGGACTGGGCAAGAGGTGCGGTCGGTCTGACTAGCTTTGGCGCATCGGACCTGCTACGCTTGGTGATAGGAATGACACTACCAAGCCAAGTGTTGTAAACAAAGTATCCCGCGTAAGCGACTGTGACGGCGAGGATGAGGTACAGGAACAACCTAAAAAGACACAGACACAGTCAGCTCCCGAGAACGCTCAACGATAAGAAACCCTCGGGGGAAGGAAGGGAACTCACAACTGTGGGTCCAAAAGCGAAGTTGGCGCCTCAACCACAACCACAGTCTGATTATATGCCGTAACGGTGACAATCTCCTCCTCGTACCTCAACATCATGGCAAGCTTGAGTAAGATCTCCCTCGGGTGCATCTCGTTGACAAACTCGTACGGTATCTCAATCTTCTGATCCTTGAGCACCTCCATCCCACCCAGTTTCTTGCTGGTCAGATTCCGCACAGCGACATCCTTTCCCAAATCCCAGAGGCTCCCTCCGATGGCTTCTACGAATATCGAGGAAGCCTCGAAGTTTACCAGGTTGAAGGATATCCGTGTCGGGATGCCGTTCACGAGCTTCACGCTCCGGTCACCAGTGCCAACGCTGACAATCTCATTCGAGACGTCTGGGAAGGAAACTTGGAGGGTTACGTTTAGCTTTCGTTGGGCCGAGGGGTCTGGGTTCGCGGTGTTGCTGCCGAAGAGTTGGGCGCTGGCGGCGAGCGGCAGGAGAAGGACGGAGAGGAAGGTTGGGACGCGCATTTCTTCAAGGAGGGGGGGTGTTTAATTGCAGGTCGGTTAGTTGATGGAGTGTTTGGAATGATAGATTGATGAAGGGAAGGAGCAGAGAGGAAGGGGTTGTAAGGTTTGTCTTGGAGATGAGAAAAGGGATGGGAAGAGAAGGAGGCTGGGAGCCACATCGCTCTTTCTTTTCTTTTCCTTTTGACTTGCCCCTGTGTTTCCAATTTGATGAGGTAATTGCCAAGAATTCCTTCAATCTTCCAACGTTCTCGTTTTCCTTTTTTTTATTTTTTTATTTGGCCATAGTGCAAGTACCAAAAGAAAGTTCCAGCAGAGTAACATGATAGGACAGCTCCAACGGTCAACCCCAAATGAGCGTCATCTAAATCAAACACCAAATAATCACCCGAGCGTTTTCCAATTGCGGCACTGGAGTAAACAGAAAGCAATTCTTCGAATGATTGGTGCCCCCGTATTGTGTATTATTCTTGAGCATCCAATCATATGAAATCCCCCGCATTAAGTTGTCACCAATCTCAACGGTTCCTTCCACAACCCCAGAAATGCTCTAGGCATGGTTAAAATACCATTACCGGTATTTGTTCATCTCGCATATCCCTACCGTGACCAACGCACGGATTATTCGCAAATAAAAAAAAATCTCACAATAGAACGGGGGGGGTATGTGCCAAGCAGTGATAAGGAGAAAAAAGGGGAGGAGGGGGGGAAAACTCAAGTTGTGGTCGAGAAGCCTCAGCAGAAGAAATGAAGGTAAATTGAAAAGAAAAGAAAGGAAACTCCCATGATGCAAAAGTCCACTCCTAAGTAAAAGATATTAGTTTTTTTTACAGAAAACCCCCTGCTGGCTGGCTAGCCGGCTACCGTCCAGGAAATGGTGACAGGAAAAGAAAAAAGATAACGAACTATGCTGCAGAGAAAGCGCGAACACCACATCGTAGAAATAGAAAAAAGAATAGGGGGGAAAATGTGGGATAAGAAGAAACAATTCATGGTTATTACTCTAATTGCTTCTAATCTCTATAAAACCAAACTCATAGCGCTCGCCAACATGACCGAATAGACCAGCACCCGGCGATCCCTGCCCGCAGTAATGCTGTTCCCAAGGGACTTAGGCAGCTCTGTAGCATAAACCGTTTGGTTGGGCGTTTGGTCAAAACCAGGCTGCTGCGAAAAGAAGTGTACAGTCCCAACCTTCGGCGGTCCCTTCTGGTCAGGAATTGGACAAATAGCTTTGGGAGACCGCCGGTCTTTGCAACGCTTCTTGTAATCCTCCTGCCGAGACGGTAGAGAAGAGTTGAAGTAACCTTGAACATACGAGACAGTCATTTTCGCGTCTACTTCTGGAGGTCCACTGGACCATAGAGGGTTTCCGTTGGACCAGTGGGAGAGAATGATCTTTCCCGCGCTCTGCGGAATGTACTTGGGGTCGGTGATATCAGCTAGCCAGTTTCCATCCACGTAGAAGCTAACTGTATCCGATTGCCAGTCTGGAGATTCGAGCAATCTGGTTAGTAGAGGGGTATTTGTTTGTATCAGAGAGGGGTGTCAATAGGGAAGTACCGAAACGGTATTCGTGGAATTCTTCATCCGTTGCGAATGGTAGCGAGACGACCTTGTATGTTGGTGTACTTTTAGCATCGCCACCTCTTTCCTGGGACAAGAGGGAGTGAAGGACAAGGTTGACCGGCGATGATGTTGGCTTAATCTGTGACGAAAGAAGCTCGATATCAATTTCCTGAGTATCGTTAAGGTACCTATGGGAGGGCTATTAGAATGCCGACGCAAAGTAGCAAATATCAATCGCAGATAGGAAAAAAAGGCGTACCAAAAGAATGCACCACAAGTACCGTTAACACCAGTGGTCTTGAGACCAGCTCTAAAAGTACCATATATCATATCCGTCCTTCTCGAGTCTACCTCCGCAACGCCGATATGCTCCTCATTATTCTCCGGTCTCCTCACAAACAATTCCAGGCCAGCGGGATCCCCATTGACACCCTCGGCGGAGACATTATGCCGAACCGACGGGTTTGAAACAACATTCTGCATTTGAGCCTTGCGGCCGTACGGACCTTTGGAGGCCTCCTTATCAACCTTCCATTCCTGCACGGCCCAATCGGTATTGTCAGTGATATTTTTTAAAAGAGTAAAGTCCGACTCGATGAGATCCGTGAAGACAGTAGAATTCAAGGAATATCCGCATTCGCAATCCGCTTCAATATCCAAAGCAAATAAATATACATCTATCAGTAACCGAAACAGAGAACAGGAAAATAATTGAAAAAAAGAAAACACATACCATTAGCAACTGGTCCACCCATAAATCCCAATGCTACTAGAAGCAGCCAAGCCAAGTAGGTAGTCATGAGAAGCAAGACGAAAATTGATTGCTACTCGAACGGTGTAGAGATTGAAGGTGCACGTTGGAAGGTATTGAAATGTAAAAGGAAAAGGAAAAGGGAAAGGGGAGAAAGAAGCAAATAAAGTAAGAAGAAAGAAACAAAACGAGTAGGCTCTGCCAAAACGAGTGATTGGTAGGCGGATAGGTCCTTGTTTGCGGGCAATTGAGATGCCCGGGCCAGGGGAGAAAGGGTGGAGAGGAGTCGAGTGGAGCAGAGGTACAAATGAAAAGAAACCAAAGGGTGGAGGGTTATGTTATGCGAATGCAATATGAAGAGGATGTTTCACAAAGCTGGTGTGAAAGAGGGAACTGATAGGTCCGTCGGCCGTTGGTGATGCCAGGGGGGGAAAGAGACAGCCGGACACGAGGGGGCTAACACATAGGTTGGCAGACCATCAGGAGCAATAGTGTGGGGACACGATGCATAAGAGTGTCGACGGTGGGCTTCGGGCAAATTTCGCAACCACACCCTCACTTCCCTCTACCGTTTCTGTATATGATATGTTCCGTTGGCTCCCACTGTTTATTTCCCCCCTATGGTAACTTCCTCAACCTCGTCCACGCCTTCCCACAATTCTCAGGCGCTGATACTAGACAGGGTGTTGATAACGAGGTAGTTAGGGATACTAATTGTTTGGTTTACGCCTCACCGTAAGTTTCCATGTATCCAGCCGTACGTTTTTCCCCACACGACTGGAAAGATAGGTCCGAGGGCAAGAGAAACAATGGGGTGTATGATAGAAGATGCGAAGATGTTGATCGAGGAATAAGGAGGAAAGCCTCCAACTAGAAACCAAAGAATCAGAATTCCAAACCTGATCAGGTTGCTCATTTTATCATACTTCTAAAGTCACGGGTCACGTCGTGAACTGTACGAGAGGATTCAGAAAGTGCGATGGACAATGAAAATTTGAATGGAGGGGGTGGGGGTAAAAAAACTCCTTGTTCCAGTTTTGAATAGCTCTTGGCTACCGGTACCATAGCGGCACGCTGTTCAGCTACGGTACGGTACTGTAGTCATCCAGCCAACATTTCTAGTGAAGAAAGAGCCTTGTTCCAAAGGCTCTCCTTGAGTCCTCGTGGGAGACAAAGGTGGTCGAAGTTCGCATGTTCTTGACTTAAAGCCGAGACCTACTATCAGACCCGTAGCCCCATGACACCGCTTATCTATAGTACTGGTAGCGGCCCCTACCATATCACCAGTACTCGTATTTGTATGATACTCGTACAAAAAATGGCACAATGAATCCCTCCCCACAGGTAGGGTTAGGGCGTCGTGCTCCCGCGGCGCTAGGGGAGATTACAGTATGATTTTGGCGGCACACTCGAGTAAGTTACCACTACGATACCCACTCTCATCCTGCGAGAAAAATGGCGCGACCAAAACCCCACGCAATTTCAAGCTTTCCTCCTGACCACCATGCCATCAGTGGCTCCCTTCGATCGCCGAGTCCCAGCTTTCACAGAAGCCTTAAGGAAGCTCTGGAAGTCCTGATGCATCATGCTGGAAAATCCTTATCCCTGAAGCACACTTCCTCGCACTTAATAGCCGTGCGGAAGGCTACGGTGAGGAGGATAACTTAATGCCGCGCAAGTACTAGTACAGTACAGCACAGTACCAACCGTTGCAATCAGCACAGTACCGGTACTCGAGTACCAACGTTCCCGCAGATCATGCATGCTCTCTTCGCTGAAAACTTGACGAATTAAAGTTCCGAGTTTCGCCAAGAGATTCCACGTGCCTCCTCCTTGGAGGGGTTAATTTATATTAGGCATGCGCCGAGAGATTGATCACAGAGTGGTGTGCGAGCGCTGTGTGCTACTGCACTCGAGTACCGGCACTCGAGTACGTAGGCAGGAAGAAATGCGGTCTTATTTCGTCTTATTCAGTTGTCCTTGGTGGGGAGTAGAGAGAGAAGGGCATAGCGGAATCCATTGTACCGTTCAAACCAAATACCGGTATACCATACCGTCACACTACCGATGCTATGAATATAAAGTGCCGACGATATCTATAGTACTTGGGATGGGTAGGATACGAGTTCGGCGGAGTGTCTACCGGTATAATATCCGGTTCTCATCCTAATGTGTTCCGCTTCGCGCATACTCGAGAAGAGCAAGTGTGACACGAAATGCGGGAAAATTAGTTAGACAACCACGATATTGACACTCGTAAGGCTAGAAGGGAAGAGAGCAGTCGAAAGGCAGTCGAAGGCATTGAAGCTCAAGGAGGGCCTACTCCAATCGAAGTATCGACCCAGATCAGGGATGCTAGGAAGGATCCTACTACGCTACTATAGATCCTAAGCCCCTTCAACTTCCGCTGGACACGTCGTAAGCTCTATATATGGGCGAACCTTCTCCCACAGGAAAATGCCAGTGATCGATTCCCGGTTACTACAAGATTCCCGGTTACTACAAGGAGGTGATAAATACTGAGAGGTGGGGGAGAGGTATGCTAGAGTAGAGGGTAGTGGAGGAGGTGCGGTAGCTGTCACTATGAGGTCCTGGTTGACGAATCGGACTCTGAGTGTTCATACTCATTCTTAGGTTCTGTTGATGGGAGAGGTGGTTTTTAGAGTTTGATTGAAACAAGGTACTTATCTATCACTTCTACACTATGATAGCTAATAAAATATATGTAGTAGCACCTATGCTTATCATTTCGCTTCTTTCACAAGAACCCCCTTCAAATACCATGGATAACACGAGGGCTGTCTTGATAATACTATGCTCGGCAAAAACATACCATCAAAAGGTTTCATGATATAGTAAAGGTCTACTCGTGGCATGATACTACAGTCGTGGCATGATACTGCAGTTCAAATCCTTTGAGAGGGATCCCACAGGAGCCTCCCCTCGACCCCGACCCATGCAGGTCATTGGCGTGAAGTCCTGCACAGCGCCCGAACATAGCGATCAGAAGTTTGTATTGCAAATTATCTGCGCGCATTCAGACTCAAATCTTTGCGTACCTCCTACTAGGTACTTGTGCCGTTACTAGCGCTGTTCGCCTGGTTGTCACCCTCACCGGCAGCCTTTTCCCCGAAGCACCCTTTTCGGCTGGTGATCAAAAGGGGTATCATACTCGTTACAGGCAAGAGGTACCCGAAAATAGGGGGTACGTCTGTATGGGTCCAGGGGTGCACGCAGTTTTTTTTTTGCTAGAAAAAAAATCTTTAATTCCCGTTTCGGGTACGATGCTTCTTGCCCGGGACGAGCACTGTACTCTCACATATTGTACGAGTATGATAGGAACTAAGTGCGACTGCGCGAGTTCCGGTATTCTTTACTGCAGGGGAATCATGCTCAAGCTGCTGAGTAGTCCAATATCCTATGAAAGTAGACCTTCTTGCCCCCCGCAAGTCCTTTTGAAATTACTAATCCTTTGAATTTGCTTCTTCTTGGTAATTTTCGGTCGACACAAATCCCCTAGTCCATCCATGAGATATGGCTCATGGTTCTCGCTCTAGGCTCTGGATTCAGATATCGTGTTCTGTACTGTACAAGGCCTCAGCGGAAAAACTATTACCGTAGAATTCCAAATAATTGAATTGCGCGCTACTCGCAGACAATGCAAAAATTATTCCTTCTCCGGAAAAGGGGCGAAGAACACATCAAAAGGCGAGTTTTTTTACCCCCCCCTTAATGACATGGAAGGGGACAAAGAATCGCACCAGACCTTTCTACTCGAGTACTCGAGTGCCAGTAGAGGAGACAGCCCGAACGACAGAGCACATAGCGCAATTATCTAGGATTCTTTCCCCCCCCCTAGATACAGTACCGGTAATGCGGTTCCCGGCCGTGTTTGTCGCAACTTGTATTTTTTTTTTTTCCTTTTCCTTTTATGGGTGTTCACTACTCGAGTAGCTTGAAACCCCCAAGTGTTGGGACGTTTCGCTACCCCACAACCTCGAAGTTCTAGCGTCGCACGGGGTTTTTAGTACCGGTATGGA